GTAGGCGTGGTTGACTCGTAACTTTTATAAAGAATATCTCTTTGGATTTGAGACTTTAGTCTTTGCAACTTTACAGATCTTCTTTATGCACCAAGAGCTTGTAACACTCCAAAGAGAAAGGAAAAATTGAAATTGCATCATATGACCCTTTAAGATATTTTTGATGGAATCCGAGAGCTCTCTGACCCTCCATAGACGGCAAAGATATTACCACGAGCAACGCACAGAAACGTAGCAAGGACATCGGTAAAATAGTCCATGTGACATCAGGGGTTCAACTGTAATTTTATGAAGCTATGAGAATACTTTTTGTGCGCAAAGATAATTTATTCAGCAGTTCTTCTCCCCGAGTTACCGTCTTCTGCCATTTTGGAGAGTACCCCAGAACGTAATCAGTGTTGTTTACGTTCAGTAGACAGCGTGTGCATGCTGAACATAAACAGCGCTCATTACGTTGATTACGTTCTGGGGTACTCTCCAAAATGGTGGAAGATGGTAACTGTTGTTGTTGTTGTTGTTGTGTTTGTTGTTGGTTGTGGTTGTTGTTGTTGTTGTGTAATTAATGACATAACTTTCATTTTCGGGTGAACTATCCCTTTAAGATGTTGTTTGAAACAAGTGATTGTTAACATTGGGCAACTAATACCGCAGTGGCCTATAATGGGGCATTTTGTGGAGTATAGGCTCTTTCATGCACAATCAAATAGCTTGCCTCAAAACCTGATCATATTTCTCCCACAAAGTTGGGCAACGTCCAGCCCTAATTGACTTAATCTGTATTTGGAATGGATCTGAAACCATTGTTGATCTAATGTTCCTGCAGCATGAGTCTGAAAAAATCAGAGTTGGACAGATGTTGACCACATTAATGTTAGTCTGTAACAAATCCTCCTTCCTTTTATTAAAGGGGTCATATGACGTTGCTAAAAAGAACATTATTTTGTGTATTTGGTGTAATGTGTTTATGCGGTTTAAGGTTCAAAAAACACATTATTTTCCACATAATGTACATTATTGTTTCTCCGCTATGCCCCGCCTTTCTGAAACGTGTCGATTTTTACAAAGCTCATCGGTCTGAAAAAGCGAGGTGTGCTTGATTGGCCAGCTATCCAGTGCGTTGTGATTGGCCGAATACCTCAAGCATGTGACGGAAATGTTACGCCCCTCACCATACTGTGATGCCTTGTGTGCTACGAGCGCCGGTGATGCGCGACGAGACAAAACCAGTAAAACCATTATAAACGAGGCATTTGTTGCATCCAGTGGGGACATAATTACAGATTATAATGACTTATACTATCGTTTTACGCGTTGCGTTGCATTGCGCCACGTAAACATAAAACCATGTCTGCATTTGTGATCGGAAAAATGACAAACAACAAGCGCTACTCTACACTGCTCAAAACTCGCATTTGAATAGTCAGTAGCAAAGTCTATAAATATGAAAACGTACTTACAGTCTGTG